TGAACAGCTTGTAACTTTACTTGCCACACAAATAAAAGCCATTTAAAATTTAATTTTATTAGTATATAATCATTATCCAAACTGCATTTGTCATTCAGTATATCCAGTATGACCGTTTTATGAATCACATTATATGTATTTCCGAAATAACATATTAACTTTAGAGCACTAAAGGGCAGAGGACTGTTATAACTGTGTATGTTTTATTCCTTACTCCACCTTCTCCCATGCCTAAAAATTTTTTTTCGTTAATCCTCACCTGAGGATATTTTTTCTTTCTTTTTTTTTTTTTTATTAGTTAAGGTATTACAAATGTGTCCTCATCTGCCCCATTAACCCCCAACCTATCCCCCGCTGAGGATATTTTTTTCAACTGACTTTTTTCATTGCTCTTTCAGAGAGACTAGAAGGGAGGAATGGAGTGGGGAGAGAGAGAGTGAGAGAGAAATATTGATGTCAGAGAGACACATGATTGGTTGCCTCCCGCACCCGCCCTGACCAGAGCTGGAGATCAAACCTGCGATCCAGGTACATGCCCGTGACCAGGAATCGAACCATCAACTCTTTGGTCCATAGGCCAACACTCTAACTGCTAAGCCACACCAGCCAGAGCTAAATTTCTTATTTTTTTATTGAATATATTTATAATGTATTTTTAATTGAGATATAATTCACATAAAATTTAGCATTTGGAAGTGTACAACTTAGTAACTTGTAGTATAGTCTCAAAATTGTACAACTATCACCACTGTCTAATTCCAGAACATCTCTATGATCCCCAAAAGAAACCCTTATCTATTAGCAATCAATCCCAATTCCCCTCTCCCTCTATGGGTTTGTCTATTCTGGATATTTCATATACTGTAAATGGGATTACATGATATATGGCCTTTTGTGTCTGGCTTTTTCACTTACTATATTTTCAAGTTCATCCATGTTGTAGTATGAAGTAGTACTTCATTCCTTTTTATGGTTGAATAATATTCCAATTTATGGATATACCACCTTTTAAAATCCACCCATCAGTTGGTCAACATTTTCAGATTTCACTTTTTATTTAAATCACTGTTTTTGTTCTAAGGTTTGGGGAAAATCAGTCTCCTCCCCCATGGCTTAAACATGTCCGGATTGTTTTTATAGCAGTTTCTAAAGCAGTACTATCTGAACTACTTTTTGTCGGTGACTTTGATAGCAGTGTTTCAAAGTTAACAGGAAGAAGGTTATTGTTGGGAAACAATCCATCCTGCAATCCCACACCCATAAAGTGATATTGAAGTTTATCATAATTTAAGTCACAGAGTACTCCTAACTAAGCAAATTTAGCTAGGCTTGTCACCTAATTAAGGACTTTTAACATCAGAGACAAAAAGGGAAGGGTCATGGCTTTGTAGGAGGAGTATTTTCCATTCCTCTGTGAATTCGGAAATGATGGTGGGCTGATATCTGAGTGCATGGGCTTCCATGTTCCCTGAGTTTCAGCTCCTGAATCCCACTTGAACTTGCCTCAGAATATGGTATCAGCTGTTCCTCTAGAGACCATGGTTTTAGTACCGGAAGTTATTACTGCCAATGGAAAGCGAGTTGACTTAAGTACCATGTTGTTTATGTGTTTCTATTTTTTATTATTTTATTGTTTGATTACAATTTGCATTCAGCACTATTTTGTATTAGTTCCAGCTGTACAGCACAGTGGATGGACATTCATATAGGTTACATGGTGTTCCCTGAAGTGTTTCTTGATCTTTAACCTCAAAGTGCATATTAGACATAGTGGGCTTTGTCCCTTTTGGAAAAGCTGTGGCTTCTTGGGAATTACAGGGAGGCTGTTTCCTTGGGGGGAGAGCTGGATTGCAGGACTGGCACCTATTCATTGTGCCAGTGACAGGGAGGCCAGCTTGAAAAGAGCATGGGCGGTGAGTGGTGCCCATGTGAAACAAGGCTGCATCACAGTGGTTTGGTCTGCGTGGAGACACAGTGCACACACGAGGCGGGCGGGTGGTGGGGAGTGGCCGCCAGCCTTGTACTCTGATGGGCCCTCTGCCAGATGCAGGACAGAAGAGCAGTGTCTGTCAGCCCAGCCAAACGGAGAGGCTCCAGAAGCTTTACGGAGCATTGTGAGAGGGCAGTGAGGTCCTTCCTGTCCCTGAAAGGCCTTTCGAGGCTCTCCTCCATAATGGGAAGGGAGAGCCCTGGGGCCTAGCTTCTTTAAAGAACTAGGCTTGCCCTGGCCAGTTTGGCTCAGGGGTTGGAGCGTTGGCCCTCGGACTGAAGGTTTCGATTTCAGTCAAGGGCAGGTACCTCGGTTGCAGGCTCAATCCCTGGCCTTGATTGGGGCACTGTGCAGAAGGCAACCAATGGATGTGTCACTCTCTCTAAAAAAAAAAAATCAAGGGACACAATATCCTTGTGTGAGGGTTAACAACAACAACAAAGAACCAGGCTTGCTTTTAGCATTGACACACCCCAGAATGCAGAGTGCTGCATAGCTGGGTAAGGGGACAGCTGAGCTCCATGGGCAGGCCTGAGTGCCGTTTCCTTCCCAAACACACACTGGTCCCTAACCTCCTCCTTTAGTATATGTGCTGCCAAAGTGAGCACACTCTCTCTTTTTAATTTGCTGCCCATGTTCATTCTCTTTTTCTTTTTCTCTTTCTCCCTCTGACCTTCCTCTCTTTTTCCCAAGAGTTATATGCATGTCTTGAAACCTAGCGCTTTGAGTTCTTGTGGGTAAAGGATGCCGATGCCAGGACCATGGACAGCCACCCTGTCACCTGGCAGGTAAACCATTTTGGGAGAAGGGATAGGAATCTTGGAAATATAACGAGTTGGGAGAGAGTTTCCCTGGAGGTTCAATGCTCCTTGAACTTCTGGTCAAGCATTACCTCCTCTCCCTCAAGAGGGCTGGCCATGTGGCACGCATGCTTTACATGCTTGGCATTCCCCAGTGGGTCTCATCTTCCTCGCCACATCCACCCGTGCAGTATCTTTTCATCCTCACGATGAGAGACACGGATTGCCGTAGGGAGTTGCTATAGAAATCATGCATCTTAATCAGCTACTTCAGTTCATTTGGATGTTAGGCACCAGAGCATTATAAAACTGCTACTTCTGCCCAGCTGGGCGTGGCTCAGTGGTTTGAGTGTCAACCTATGAACCAGGAGGTCATGGTTTGATTCCCGGTCAGGGCACATGCCCAGGTTGGGGGCTCAATCCCCAGTGGGGGGCATGCAGGAGGCAGCCAATCAATGATTCTCTCTCATCATTGATGTTTCTATCTCCCTCTCCCTTTCTCTCTGAAATCTACACATATACATATGTGTATACACACACACACACACACACACACACACACACATATATATACATATATATACTAGTATCCTATATAATAAAGAGCTAATATGCAAATGGTCATCATGCCCTCACGCTGTCATGCCATAATGGCTCAGACACTCAACACTGGGGAGAGAGAAATAGGGACCAGCCAGGCACAAATGAGCTTGCGAGAGAGGAATGAGGACCAGTCAGGCTGCGGCCCAGGAGAGGGACAAGCCGCCCGCTCTGCAGTCCTGGGCGCCAGCAGCTGCACCTGCGGCCCGGGAGAGCTGCCCACCCACTGTCTCCTGTGGCTACGGCAAGGCCGGGCGAAGCCGGCCCAGGTCCTGGGTTCCTGCGGCTGGCCAGAGGGAGGGAAGCCCGGGTCCCAGGTGCCTGCAACTGGCTGGAGGAGAGAATCCTGGGTCCTGGGTGCGGGGCGAGGCAGAGGCGGTTAGGGGTGATCAGGCCAGCAGGGGAGCAGTTAGGGGCGATCAGGCAGGCAGGCAGAGGGGTTAGGGGCAATCAGGCAGGCAGGCAAGCGGTTAGAAGCCAGTGGTCCCGGATTGTGAGAGGCAGTTGGACATCTCCCGAGGGGTCCTGGATTAGAGAGGGTGCAGGCCGAGCTGAGGGACCCCCCTCCATGCACGAATTTCATGCACTGGGCCTCTAGTATATAATAAAAGCCTAATATGCAAATTGACTGAAAGGCCGAACCACCGGTGGAATGACCAGTCGCTATGATGCACACTGACCACCAGGAGGCAGATGCTCAATGCAGGAGCTGCCCCTAGCCCGCAGGCCCCAGGCCAGCCAAGGCGGATGCCAGCAGGGCCCCCCCCCCCACCCCCGATTGCCCTGCCGGTCATCCCACAGAGGGAGGCTACCAGTGGCAGTGGGGCTGGGGCTGGCAAGTGGGCAGCACCAGGCCGGCCAAGGCAGGTGCCAGCAGGGCTTTCCCCCACCCACCCCCCTGATCGGCCCTGATCGCTGGCCAGGCCTAGGGACCCTCCCCATACACGAATTTCGTGCATCGGGCCTCTAGTGTATATATATTTAAGTATATATTTTTTAAACTGCTACTTCACTGAGGCTGCTGCCTTGGTATCCAATGGTCCTTGTCATCTTTCAGGTTTGATAGGCTCAGTGGGATTCCTAGGTTTGCCAGGCCCATCTCCTAGTTTTCCTTAGACCTGACAAATGACCTAGTGGTAGGCAGTTCCTCCTCTTGGGTTTGGAGCCACTGGACAGTGTGGGTTTATGCCTACCATCAGGGCCAGCAGAAGAGCAGAGTTCCTCTGTGTGGATATTAACACTTCGGTGGGTGGTTTATTTCTTGTTTCAAATAAAGTAACAACTCTTTCCTTTTGGGGGTCTGTTAGCTCATCCCAAATTCTTAGCCTGAAAAAGTGTCAGGTTGTACTGGTATTTATGTTTTGCTTTCTAAGGCTACGTGTTTTCTTATATATGTATACACACGTGAGAAGAGGTTTGGTATGGCGTCTGAATCTGGGGGTACCTCAAGATTCTCTGCCCTTGCCCCCACTTCCTTGGTGAGGGATTCTGAATGGCTCATTCCTGTCACCCTCCACTCCTGGGAAGAATCCATCAGGGGTAAACAGTTTGGGGTGTGGGCCCTAGATTTGCTGTCATGGCTCACTGAGTATGCATCCCTGTTCCCCCAGGAGACTTGGAGCTCCTCTCCGTGCTGACATGATGACCGTGTGCAGGCCGACCAAAGGCAGCCACAGCCAGACTGAAAACCTGAGCTTCAAACTGGCTGACAAGTAAGAACTTTTCTCCCCCAAGAGTGAAGAAGTTGGCCCGGACTCTCAGTCTCCTTCCTTTCACTACTGCCTTTCCCTGTTCTCTAACCCCACTTCCTTGAACTAAGGAGGTGATCTTTTCTGAGTCATTATGATGAGCAGGACTCTTGTCAGTCCTCTCCATGCGCTGCACTCCGTTAAGAACCTGAAACCAAAGTGGTCAAGGGAAGGTCTGACTAGCACCCAGTGTTTGGAGAGGATGATCCCAGGGCCATTCCAAGCAATGTCCCCAGTCACACATTCCAGTCCAGGGTTTATTTTTCTCACTACTGGAATGCACAGGTATGGTGAATATCAGTGAGCCCTAAATCTTGGCAGCTGCATCTGTCTACATAGCGTCTTTACCCATCTTATATCAGCAGGACTGTTTTCTCCCCAGGTGTTTTCCTCTGATACTCTCTCACACATTCTGCAAAGGAGTTGGCAATCCCTGAGCTTTTCACAGCTGTAGAACCCCTCCTGGGGCCATAGACTCCTGGAAACAGGAACTAGAGAAGTTCTTGGGTGCGGCAGCCATGTGAAGAAGGCGCTCTGCCCTTTGTTTCATCACCCTTGCTGCTCTTGCTGGAGCTTTGTCACTCTAGCGTGGTCTTCCAGCAAGGCATCCTTTTTTAGTTTTTAGATAGGGCCTCAGTGATTGTGAAGTCATGCCAGACGTTTGGAGCCTTAGACAATAACTTAAATAACACTAATTACCATTAATTAATATCAAGATTTATAATGTACGTACTCTGGACATGTTACATGTATTAGCTCGTTCATTCATTCATTTAATAAATATTTAATGACTACCTATTATGTGCTGGGCACAGCAAATGAGATAAATTAGACCTCTGTACTCCTAAAGTTCCAGTCTAGACAAAGGAGATAGGGTTCTTACTTTGAGATGAAAAAAAAAATGGAACCAAGAGTCCAACCCAGGTCCCTCTGACTCTAAAACCATGTATTTATCTACTGTCATCATTGTTTAACAGAGTCCTGGCTGAATAGCTCAGTTGGTTAGAACGTCGTCCCAATACGCCAAAGTTGTGGGTTCAATGTCTGGTCCAGGCACATACAAGAATCAACCAATGAATGCATAAATAAGTGCAACAACAAATCAATCTCTCTCTCTCTCTCTCTCTCTCTCTCTCTCTCTCTCTCTCTCTCTCCCCCTCCCTCCCTTTCTTCTCCCTTCCCTCCCTCCCTCTTCCTTCCCCCCTCTCTCAAATCAATAAATCAAAATTTTTTCAGTGTTGTTTAACAATATATGTGATATTAGTGATTATATATTTGTCACTAAACATGCACTAACCTGAACTGTGTTTTTATGTGTCTGTCCTATTTCTTCATCTCACTTCTAGCTCCGTGGGAACAAGGACTTTAACTTTTGCCTTTTGAATTCTCAGTAAAATATCAACAAAATGATTCTGATTCCAATTCTGACTAAAATCTGAATTCATGCCAATGTCCTCAGTGGTAACAGAACAATTAAAAAATGTGTTTCTTTTCTGTAAGCACTCTGTTATTTATGCTAATTGTTTATTTAAATAAGGAATTCTGCTTTGGTAGCCATATGTAACATGAAAATGTGTTTGCAATTTCACACGTTTCTAATTTATATTGAGCAACCAAGAATAGCAACACAACTTACGAGCTATTGTTCCATAGGAAGAAGTCTCTACATAAACAACTGTTAGTCTTTGGAATAGAAAGCTAAATAGAAATAGAGTGTGTGAAGTTGGTAATAATTCATCCCTCATGTAAACCTAACTGGGGTTTCAGAATTCCTACACAGCTTCATCTATGTTTCACAGAATGTGCACCATGAAGTAGGCCTATGCATGTTTGCTAATCTTGACACATCTAAAGTCACTGTGTTAGGCATGATCTGTGTTGGTGGAAGCACAGATACTCCCATTCTCATTAGACTAGCTTAAAAATGTTTTTCTGGTTTTCTTTCAACATAATTTTCAACATCTTTATGACACTAATCTCCTAAGATTACATTTGGAGGCATGTATCCCCATATGTACATTCTAGGCCAGCATTTTCTGGAGTGGTGGGAATGTTCTACTCCATCCGATTAGAGTAACCATTAGCCACATGTGGTTACTGAGTCCTCGACATGTGGCTGGTGCAACTGGGGAACTGAATTGAATTTGATTTCAGTTTAAATAGCCACATATGGCTAGTGGCCACTATATTGGACAGTGCAGTTGTAGGCCACCCATGAGATCCGGATCTGCTTGTTGGTTCACTCATTTATGCAGCAAAGATTTATTGGCCTTCCTACTCTGCTAGGTGTTGTTCTAGGTGCTAGGGATGTATCAGTAGCCAAAACAGACCAAATTCAAAATGAAACAAAACAATCCCTGTCCTCACAGAGAGACCATTCTAGTAGGGCTCACATTCTAAAGGAGGTTTAATTCAAATGCAGCCAATCATTGTGTCTTCACCGATTCAAATCAGGACAACTTACCAAGCCCAGGATTAGCAAAAACTTTGTAACTCATGGCGTTGTTCTAATTTTGAATAATCATTACAAAGGCCCATCCATTGAAAACAGAAGCAGAGGAAACTTAGATTATATACTCTCTTCTCCTATTTTCATCAGGGAGAAAAAAGCTCATAGTAATGGTAACCACCACGTCTTGTACATTTGTGACATGCTAGATATTTTATGTGGGCTAGCTCATTCAGTGTTTACAGTCACCCTGTTAGATATGTATTATTATCACTATTATTCCTATTTCACAGACGAGGAAATTGAGATTTAGAGAAGTTAAACATCTTGCCCAAGGTCACACAGCTGGTCAGTGGTTGAATTAGGATTTAAACCCAAGTCTACTGGACTCCAAATCCAATAGCTCCATGATATCTTCCCCAAGAAAAATATTATGTGATTTTTTTTTAGATGGTGGTTTCAGTGTTTGTGATTTGCAGCCAGCATATAATATATCTGAGTTCTAGGAAATCTCTATGACCAGCCAAGAACAATAACGTGGCTACTGAGTCCTCACCCAGTGTTTATCTTTCTTGTTCAGGGTCCAGGTGGAAGGCCCAAAGGCTGGGGAAGATCTCCAAAGGCAGCCCTGTCGGTCCTCCAGTCCTTTCCTAAAGACTGATCAGGACTCACCCCTCCAAAGAAGCCCGTTGGAAAACCTCAATAACCTGAAGCTAAAGTTAAGAGTAGACTGTTTTCAGCAGAACATGTTCAACTCAAATATGATCATCAGTGACCCAGCTTCAGGTCTCAATGCTAAAGAAGCCAGCAAGGCTGGCAGGAGGCAGCTCAGTGGAGTTCAGAACCTCTGCCCTCCTGCCCGAGGCAGGGCCGGACACAAGTCCCTCAGCATAAAGGACAAGATATCAGAATGGGAAGGGAAAAGGGAGTTGCCCACTCCTGCACCCGGCAGGAAAGCAGATGGGCAAGAGGATTACCTGACATCCTGCGTGACGGACAGGAGATGTGATGATGGTGTGATGACTCAGTTCACAGCAGCTGAGAACGGAACGAGGCCGGAAAGAGAGAGCAAAGAGAACGAGAGGAACAAGGAGGTAGTGGAAGTCGTGGGACAGAATGCGGAGCGGAGGCTAGACCTAAGCCAGCCAGCCAGGGAGCTGTCTCCGAGCATGGGCAAAGGCCTAGAGCTGAGGCTTAGCAAACAGCGCTTTCAGAACGATAGCCTCTCTGTGCTGGTGCAGGTCAAGAAACTTGAGCAGGCTCTGAAGGATGGCGTGGCAGGACTGGATCTCCAGTTACCAGGGACTTGTTATTCCCCACACTGTGTGCCAGACAAGGAGGGGCCCAGCCTCACAGGGAACCGTGGATGTGGGAGTGGCTCAGAATTCAGGTCCCACCACGTGGACCTGGAAGCCAGGCAGCCCACCCCCGAGGTTGCAGAGGAACGGAGAGGCTCCTACGGGAAAGCCTGTGATCAGAGCCTGGAGAGTGTATACAGAGGCTCCTCCTCCAAACACTTCATCAACCCCCTGCCCAAACCCCGGAGAACGTTCATGCATGATGGAGAAGGGGACAAGGATGGGAGCCCCGGCATCAGCTTCAGGAAAGATCGCAGGAACCTGCCTCCTCTGCCCACTCTTCCTCCCCCACCCCTGCCCTCCTCTCCACCACCTCCCTCTGTGAACAGAAGACTGTGGAATGGGAGACCGAAGCCCAGTGCTGACCACAGGTAGGTGCCGGCGACTGTCCACTTCAGTCGTCTATGCCGCATCACAGCTGCTGCTCAGTCTACTTACTTGTTTTTGTAAACTGATGGGTCTTGTAGTTAGTTGAGACTGTTTATAACTTAAGGTAGTTTATTGACTAAACGTGGACACGTGATAACTGATGCATGTGTTTTGTCTTTGTTTTACCCTTTGGATGTGATGAGTACTTGTGATTCAGACAGTAACCAAGCATTCAATGAAAATTTGTTTTATCCCTGGCATCTACTAATTGCTGCTAACGGGAGCTCTATTTTCGACTACCATCCCTGCTAGTGCTTGGTACTTTCAGTCTTTCCTGGCTCTTCCTTTCATGTTTTGTCTTGGTATGGGCTACAGACACACACTGCCTGGGTCTACCCTGGCCCCATCATGGTCATTCTCTATGACCTTGAACAAGTGACTTAACCTCTCTCGAAGCCTCAGGTTCCTCATTTATACATAGATGCACACACTGTGAATATTTTATAATATTAAAATAACACATTAGGTAATAAAGCATGTGAATGCTTGAAAATAAAATCTGTGCTTTGGATTCAGTTTCTTCTCTGCTTTGAAACTTAAATTTCTAGTCCATTTCTGTAATGTGCTCATTGGTTTATACCCACGAAAGTGGAAACCGGCTTTAGAGCAGAACTCCTCAGACAGTTGTCCGTACTTACAGTCATCACTTCTTCACCTCCTGTTTTTTTCCTTGACCCACTGCAGTTGGGCTTTTGCCACTTATCCTGAAACTGCTCTTGACCAAGGCTACAAACAGCCTCCATCCTGCTACATCCAATCACTAGTTCTCTGTTCTTGTCATTGACCAACTCTCTTGGCAATTGAGGAACAGCTGAGGTGCTACATCTTGAACCACTGTATTCACTTGGCTTCTAGGTCACCCACTTTCCTGGTAGTCCTACTTCACTGGCTGTTCCTTTTCGTAAGTGTCAGAATATCCCCACCACCACCACCACCACCACCACCACCAATGCATCCATACCTCATCCTGAGGTCAGAACAGGAACTTCTCTCCATCTACACGCACTAAATGATCTCATCCAGTCTCATGGCTTTAAATGTCAATTACATGCTCATGACTCCCAACTATGTATCTCCAGCCCCAACTCCCTCACCCAGCTTCAGATTAGATTAGTCATCTCCTGTTTGGGTCTCCATTTGGTTAGCTAATATGTCCAAACCTAAATTCTCAATCCAGGCCATGGCAAAGCACCTCCTCTCAAAGTAATTCCCATTTTATTAAATGGTCCTGTCCTTCATTTTGCTTAGGCCAGAAACCTAGTCCTCTCTTTTTCACGTACCCCCATCTAATTCATCAGCAAGTCCTTTGGTTCTAGTTTTAAATGTTATCTTGAATTTGATTACACCTCCTCCACTGCTACCACCTTAATCATCTTGGATCCACCACTACCCCCAGTATATTCCTTTCTCAGCAGCTAGGTGAAATTATCTAGAAATATAGATTAGAGCATGTCACTCCCCCACTCAACAAGGTCTGTCAGGTAGGATTCTTTTGGCTGCCAAAACATAATTTCTTTTTTTTTTTAATTTAAATTTTTTATTGTTGCAAGTATTACGTATGTCTCCTTTTTCTCCTATAGACCTCTCCCCAGTTGCTCCCACCCCCCTAAAACAATTTCTTATGTTCTCTTCTAGGGAAAAAGGTTTGTATATTCTAGAATTTTATATAAATTTACAGTATATAAAAAATTATGTCTTTTAAAAGTGAAAGCATGCTATATATCTCTTCCTTTTTATACTCTTTTTTACTTAAAATATCATTGAGATCTTTCCATCTTACTACCTTCCTTTTTTTTTCTTCCACCTTTCTACAACTACCACATTCTTTACATCATGTGGGTAGATAATTTTTTATTTAGCTGTTCCCCTACTGATGGACACTTGGGTTGTTTCCAGTTTACAAATAATGCTGTGATGAGCAGTATATAGCATTAGAGAAGATTCTAGAGCCAGAGTACTTCTAGCTCTGCTACTTGTTAGCTGTGTGACATTGTACAAGCTACTAAATTTGTCTTGGCCTCATTTTACTTAAAATGGTGATAATTAGCCCTAGCCAGTTTGGCTCAGCAGATAGAGCGTTGGCCTGCAGACCAAAGGGTCCCCGATTCAATTCCGGTCAAGGGCACATACCTTGGTTGCAGGCTCCTCCCCGACCTGGGACCTGGTCAGGGCTCATGCAGGAGGCAATCAATGTGTTTCTCTCACATCGATGTTTCTCTCTGTCTTTCCCTTTCTCTTCCACTCTCCCTATAAGTCATTGAAAAAATATCCTCCAGTGAGGATTAACAAAAATAATGATAGTAAATAAATAAATAAATAAATAAATAAAATGGTGATAATTATAATAACCACTTCATAAGTTGTGAAGAAGATAAGTAAATATGTGTAAATCATAAAACAAAGCCTGGGATGTAGTAAAGGCTTAATAAATGTTAGCTATTACTGTTTTCTGGCTCTCTTTTGTTTAATTAATCAGGGTATCTGTTTCTTTTTCAATACCAAATATTTTAATTATTTAATATATTAATATATTTTAATATTTAGTAGAGTTTACAGAAATTTCTTATTGTTGCTGATAATGAGTCAGCTGGTTCTCCTGGACATTCTCCGTATTCTATCATGTCATATGAAAAAAAATGATCATTTGGTCTCCATTCTAATAATTATAAACCTCTTATTTATTTTCTTATTCTCCTTTTTAAAAAATGTCTTAACTATTCTTGCGTTTTTCTAAATGTTCTATATAGCACTATCAAATTTCACTCACACAAAATGTTAGTTTTAATTTTTTTATTTTAAAAATTAAAAAAATTTAAATTATAGTTTGTCAGTTGATTCTCTTGGACTTTCTATGTATATAATCATATTGTCTGCAAAGAATTATCATTTTACCCTTTTTAAAAAAATTTATACCTCCAAATTCTTTCTCTTACCGCATTACCCTGGCTAATACTTTCAGAGCAGAATTAAATAATAAGCAACAGGCAGACTTATCTCACCCCTAACTTTAATGGTAATGGTTCTAGTATTCCACTCTCAAACACTCTTGTTTGAGGTATGCTTTTATGTTATCAAGGTAATGTTCATTTATATTTCTTATTTTACTGAGTTTTAAAAATTAGGATTAAATGGTAGATTTTTGTCAAATTATACTTCAGCAACTTTATACAATCATATGGTTCTTCTCCCTTGACTATTAATAGTGAATTTATATCTAATACTAACCCATCCTTAGATTTTGGGGATGAACTCTTATTTGGTCTTGGTTTATTATTATTTTTAATGTACTGCTAAATTCTATTTGCTAATATTTTAAGATCTTTGTCTCAGTATTCTATAAATGGGACTGGCCTGTACTTGGTACTTATTGCACTATCTTTATTAGGCTTTGGTATCAGTGAAATCTATAGAAGAATTTAGAGAATTTCTTCTTTATGTTTTGAGAAAGTTTGAATCCATCTCCAACCCTGCATTCTTTCCCAAACAAGTGCCAAGCCCAGGGCCCTAAATACTCTGGTGCTTTTCTACTCCCGTCCCCATGCTTCCCAACGACAGCCCTCCCACACCCTTTTCTGGGCTCTTCCCGCAAAGAGGCCCGCTCTCCGGGCAGGTTGATTCTGGGAGATTGGAGTCTTTCATCTGTGTCATCATTGGGAAGACAGAGCAACCTGCTGAACAGTTATTTCCATTATCATTTTTCTTTTAGCTACCATCTGCTATTTTCAGTCTCCCAGCATTTTCTTTCAAACCAGCTAAAGTTACTTAGTTTCAGTCCAAAGATGAAATTTTTCTTGGCCAGTTTGAATATGGTTGCATCAGCTGTGTTTTAAGAATTTTGGCTTTGGATTTTTCATTTTGTTTAAAATAGTACAATGGGAGTGATTAGGGCAAGATGTTCACTTTCTGCTCTTAAAAAATAAAGTGTGCTCTTTATTGTGGTCCTATCTCTAAAAGAAAAAAGAAATAGGAAGGAAAAAAAAAAAGGCTCAACTCTGCATTTGGCAGACTTACTGCCCTGAGGCAGGAAAGCCAAGCCAAGGTTGAAGAAAGAAATGATTAAGGATTTTGAGGTTATGAAGGTTTAGAATTACATGGCCAGGCTGTGTGCATTAGAGAATGTATTCAGCTTATTTTCATAGACCAATTAGTCCACCTCAGCAAGAGCCAAACCAATGAATTCAGATACTCAGTTTGAGAAAATGTTTTTTTTTCTTTCTCTCTTTTTATTTTTCCCTTCCCTTTTTTCTCTTTCCTCTTTTATCTCTTCTTCTTCCTCATCTCCTTCCTTTCTTTCTTCCCTTTCTTCTCTCTTCTTTCTTCATTTCTCTAAAGCCCCAGGAAATTAAATGCAAGGCCTTATGTCTTCAGTCCTAAAATGGAAAATAAGAAACCCTCAAATATCAGGAAATTCCAAAGATAAGATTCCTGCAGCAGCATTAACTTGGTTATGTATGTTTTATGGCATACATTTAATAACTTTGACAGGAATGCCTTAAGGCTGACATTAAACAAGAAAAGTTATTATTTTTTAAGTATAAGCAGCATCCTGAATTCACATGTATCTATTTACCCCAAAGGTTTTAACTTGAATTCAGATTTTTTGTTTTAGTTTAATTTGATCATATGACAGAGTTTTTTAGGTCATTATCCAACCAAATAACTACATTGACCAAAATTTCAACTTGTCGACTGATTGTTTTGGCATTATATAGATTCAGCCTTTCCTTGGGACCTTAGCATGAGACTCAGAATTTTTTGAGGACATGAAACCTCAGTCATTTTATGGCTGTTATTGATTCCTTAATTTTCATCTTCTATAGGACTGATAGGGATCTCCATAGTGCTCTGGCTGGGCAGCAACCCTCAGCTACCATCAGTTTAGTGGTTAAAGTTCACTTACCAGCAACGCTGAGGCCTGTCCCTGTCGTTATGAGTCTGCCTT